ACAAAGTACAGAGCCGCAACAATGTCCTCAAGTCGCTGGCCGGCAGCACTTGGGGCAAAGATAAAGAAACGTTGTTGGCAACATACAAGGCAATTGGCCGGCCGGTTCTGAACTACGCAGCGCCCGTATGGTCGCCGGGGACTAGCAGGACGCAGTGGATGGAGCTGCAGACCTGCCAAAACGCGGCATTACGAACTGCGACAGGATGCCTCCTGATGACGCCTCAACACCACCTTCACGACGAGGCCCAGATGCTCCCACTAAAGGAGCATAACATAATGCTCTGCAAGCAGTTCCTCGCTGGGAGCCACAGACGTGGGCATCCCAGCGGGCAACTGCTCGCGGAAGAGCCCTCGCCACGGCACGTCAGGAGGCATCTTTACGAACTGACAGACGAAGTCCAGAGGTATATTAAACAACCTCTGGACCCGTCAACCTACCGACAGGCCCTGAACGGCATTCACAAAGAATCAGTCTCAAGTTATGTAGACTCCCGCCCTCTGAATGCCGTTGTAGGCACACAACCACTGGACTTGGAATGGACAGAACTTTGTCTGCCTCGGGAGACCCGCACTACAATAGCCCAACTTCGCTCTGGCTATTGCAGCAGGCTCAGCAGCTACCAGAGCAGAATCAACGAGGATGTGCCCAACCAATGCCCGGCATGTAGAGAGTCGCCACATGACTCCCGGCACCTCTTCACATGCCCTGAGAATCCCACTCAGCTAACGCCCCTGTCCCTATGGGCAGCCCCTCTGGAAGTAGCACACTTCCTGGGCCTCCCCCTAGCTGAAATAGACGACAACGTTGATGGATGAACCGCCCCGAACGGGGCTTAGTAGCCGCTACAACAACAACAACAACAGGCCTATAAGCGACACTTTACCCTTTCTTAAAACTCTAGAGAGACTCTTCGACGAATATATTCGACGGAATATTAAAACTGGTAACCTCTCCTCAAATCAGCATGCATATTTCAAGGGGAAATCCCTGGAGACCGCACTGCATGAAATCGTATCGAAGATTGAAAAAGGATTGGCCTTAAAGGAATACACGCTCGGAGTTCTTCTCGATATCGAGGGTGCTTTCAACAAAGTCTACCCGAAGTCTGTTGTTAACTCGCTTCTCATGGCGGGGGGGCAGCGAGGGCTGGTGGATTTTGTTGAGCTCCTCCTCGGAAAGAGAACTATTCTATCAGATCTGGGGGATGGTTCTATTACAAAGTATGTCACCAAAGGCACCCCCAAGAGGGCGTTCTCTCCCCTCTCCTCTAGAATCTGACAGTGAACACCCTACTTCTAAGCCTAAAGACCACCGGTTGTCAGGGCATAGCGTACAAACGTGGCAACGGGCAAACATCTTCAGGTCCTGAGGGAGTTATTGCAAAACGCACTCGGTCTGGTAAACATCTGGTCCAAGGAATGTGGACTTAGTGTCAATCCTGCCAAGACGGAAATAGTACTTTTCACAAGGAAGTATAAAACTCCCTTATTTAAACCTCCCACCCTAAACGGGGTGGCACTTACTCTCTCAACCGAGGTCAAATACCTTGGAGTCATTCTAAATAAGAAACTGGACTGGAAGCGAAATGTTGAAGACCGCTCCTGGAAGGCCAATACTGCCCTGTATGCTTGCAAGACGGCTATAGGCAAAAAATGGGGAATAAAACCACATAAAGTACGCTGGATGTACACAGCTGTGATAAGACCTATCCTTTTCTATGGGGTCACCGTATGGTAGCCTGCAAGCTTAACAAAATTGTGGGTAGCGGGATCTACTCTGAAAAACTCGCGCAAAATTTTAGTTTTCGCCTACCGGACCATTGTAGCGTTTTTCAAGCAGAATTAAAAGCCATAATGGAGGTGGCTCGGTGGCTTATAACCTCCGCCCCTCCAGGACGGCCTATTTCTATCCATTCTGACAGCCAGGCTGCTAACAAATCTCTCAATTCTAACGAAGCAACGTCCAAAGTAGCCATAGAATGCACGATTGGGAGAATTCTATCATTCTTGCATAGAATGCAGGAAGACTCTCAACCTGCTGGCACCAAAATGCTCCTTGCCTGTTGTATGGGTCCCTGGACATGGGGACATCCCTGGCAACTGCCTAGCCGACGAGCTGGCAAGGAGAGGTACGGAAATATCTGTAGTCAATTCTGCTCGGAATGCGGGCATACCTCTAACCTCCTGCAAACACAGACTAAAGGCGAAACTCGTTGAGGAGGGAAATATAAAGTGGGCTGTGGAAACCACCTGCCATACTACCAGGCAAATTTGGCCAAAGAATGATGTAAAGCGATCCATAGCTCTCACCCGGCTAGACCGCTCCTCTCTCAGATTGGTAGTCGGGGTAATCACCGGACACTATCTGATGGACACACACGGAAAAAGGTTAGAATACCCCACCAACGATTTCTGTCGCAGTTTCAGGGATGACACCATTGTTACGCCCTGGCCAACATGCGCAACCAATTCTTCAACAAGTACTTTCGAGATTGTTTAGCCGATTTGAACTCGGCGAACGTTCTCGACTTTTTGTGCTATATAAAACGCACTCGATGGTTCAATTATTAAAGGAGGGAAAGAAACAAATGGCTTCGGCCAGTGGTATCACAACGGGCTTTTCCAGTCCACGTGTGCTCCGCGCTCTGCGCGGGGCAGCCACTCCAACCTAACCTATGAGCATCTGAAAATTTTAGGGCAAAGTGTGGTTTAAGAGAAAAATGGTTGATAAGTTTATGCTATAAATATGTATGCGTGCGTGCATATTCCATTATTTGTTCTCAAAATGAATAAAAACAATAATATGCTTACAAATAATTAATAACACTATGTAATAAATTGTTTTAAAAATGGATGTGAACTTCAAGTTTGTATTTTAACAAAGTATTAATTTTATTTTTGTTATTTATGGCCTTATAACAATTATATTCAACAAAAAACTACCAAACAACCAAGTTCGAAAATAATAAAAAAAAAACAAGTTTGGTTGGAAACAATCCAAATTGCCACCGAAGAATACCGTCATGACAATTGCAAAATACATGCACACTTTTTCACTAATACATGCATACATTTCCAATTGTCTCAATCACTGTCTTGATTATTTTCAAGACAGTAAATCGGACAATGATTTGACGTATGTAGACAATAATTTTGACGTCTTGTGCAAGAAAGAAGAGAAAGTCATAACAAAAGAACTAAAATAACAGNCTACCAGGCAAATTTGGCCAAAGAATGATGTAAAGCGATCCATAGCTCTCACCCGGCTAGACCGCTCCTCTCTCAGATTGGTAGTCGGGGTAATCACCGGACACTATCTGATGGACACACACGGAAAAAGGTTAGAATACCCCACCAACGATTTCTGTCGCAGTTTCAGGGATGACACCATTGTTACGCCCTGGCCAACATGCGCAACCAATTCTTCAACAAGTACTTTCGAGATTGTTTAGCCGATTTGAACTCGGCGAACGTTCTCGACTTTTTGTGCTATATAAAACGCACTCGATGGTTCAATTATTAAAGGAGGGAAAGAAACAAATGGCTTCGGCCAGTGGTATCACAACGGGCTTTTCCAGTCCACGTGTGCTCCGCGCTCTGCGCGGGGCAGCCACTCCAACCTAACCTATGAGCATCTGAAAATTTTAGGGCAAAGTGTGGTTTAAGAGAAAAATGGTTGATAAGTTTATGCTATAAATATGTATGCGTGCGTGCATATTCCATTATTTGTTCTCAAAATGAATAAAAACAATAATATGCTTACAAATAATTAATAACACTATGTAATAAATTGTTTTAAAAATGGATGTGAACTTCAAGTTTGTATTTTAACAAAGTATTAATTTTATTTTTGTTATTTATGGCCTTATAACAATTATATTCAACAAAAAACTACCAAACAACCAAGTTCGAAAATAATAAAAAAAAAACAAGTTTGGTTGGAAACAATCCAAATTGCCACCGAAGAATACCGTCATGACAATTGCAAAATACATGCACACTTTTTCACTAATACATGCATACATTTCCAATTGTCTCAATCACTGTCTTGATTATTTTCAAGACAGTAAATCGGACAATGATTTGACGTATGTAGACAATAATTTTGACGTCTTGTGCAAGAAAGAAGAGAAAGTCATAACAAAAGAACTAAAATAACAGTTAGTTTTTAGCTTAAATAGCTCGCGCGAAATGCGTATTATAATACAACGTTCACGCCCGACATTTTTGCTCAAAATGAATTGTCATAACTATTGTCAGGACGCCTACGCCACGGAGACAATTATCAGCGTTTTTGACTACTAATACGTATCTTTATTGTCTTGACAGCATTGTCTAATGTAAACACGCCGCAATATTTCTACTTGTTTCAAATGAAAATTTTATGTGAAAAGTTTCATATCATAGATAACGTCAAGATGTTTTCAAGGCAATTTGCAAGAAATGTCGTATTACTTTGAAATAATAACAATATACAGCATATTTATATATTCGATTTACTTGCAAGTCGGAGGAACGCAGCAATTAAGTATACATAATGTATGTACGCATATATGTACACATAAGTTCACAAAACTAGCCCTTTTATCTGGTAAACGTTCAATTGCAGAGGAAGCATAAGGAAACTAAAAGGAGCGTCAGTGACCCTACTAAAGGCTTAACTGATACTGAAATCGATATGGCGCTGGATGATCTGTCACTCTCGGACTTGAGCATCTTGAGCAAACTGATTGACAGGCCAAATGCGCCAGATTACGATTATGCCAATTATGATAGGTAACAAAAATAGCTTGTAAAGTTTTAACCCGCACTTATGCATATTCGTAATTTGTAGCCGGAACTATGCTTTGGGACCACCTCGTGATCACACTTTCGACGATGACCCTATCGACTATGGGATCAATAAAAACTACTACGACGATATCGATGGGCTGCCGGGGGATGCGCGAAATTTTATGTATTTCAAAATACCACGCCAGAGTTTGGTGCCCATCATGGAACGAAGGAAGAATCAACGAAATAAACGCGAAAACGATGGCCGTACAATACAGCAGGCAAGACATTAATTTTGCCTTTGGCAAAACGTCTCAATCATTCTTTATGCATTAGTAGGCTGCGATGGATGCAGAATACATTCGAGAACTGGAAAATTCCTTTCCACGTGACCAAGTGCAAAATAATAACGAGGAAAGTGAAGATAAGAGAGAGCACATACGCGTGAAGCGCAATTGACAGCACACAAAACCAAAGAGTTTTTAAATAAATATGTATGCGCGAAATTAAAAACATTCTAAAGCTGGGATCACATGATTTGTACATTTGGCTAAAAATTTGTCAAATTCATAGACATATCATGTGAACGCTAAATTACATTTGTCATTTATCAGAGAAGCCAAATATTTGCCTTCTTGTGGCAAAAGAAAAACAACCCTGGTGGCCAAATGGTGTGAACGCAATGCTGCTACATAAGCCAAATAAAAATTACGCAAATGACCAAATATCTGATTTGCCAGTTTATGACAAATGCCAGTGACAAATATACAAATATTGTTGAGCGGTATTGCCATTTCGTGCTTGTGAACCTTTGTATTTTCCAATTTTGGTAAAATTTTATTATTTAATATAATATTCGTATCCGAAACCTACCGAAAAATATCACGTTATTTGAAAACAATAATTTTAAAATATTTGCTCAAACTGAAACATGTACATATACGTATTCGCCAGTAGCTGAGTGTGCAGAGAAGCGTGCGACTATTTGTAACCTTCATGAGGTCCCAGGTTCTTATGCCGACAGACGAACATATTAAAAGTATAATTAATTTCTGAGTATAATTAACTATGAAAAAGCATATTTGAAGTTCAGAATGAAAAATTTCAGAAAACCAACCGGAAAAGTATTCGCTTCTCAACCCTTCGTGGCACTTTACTATTCACCTTTCTTTCAGTTTTCGGATCTCTTTCCGCAGTTTTTGCTGGCTATACACATATACATACATGCATATCGTCGTATAAAGTACAAAACCGCGTATCATCATTCTGCAAAATCGCGTAACTGACATTGGCTGCCAAAAATTGAATTTGCTCACACAAACTCTTGGCTTAATCCTTATCCATTCGTCCTGAAATATACTATCCAGAAATGCGATTGCTTTATAAAAAAGAGAACCATTTTGAAATATGAGTGTTTTTACTATCTAGATAATAATTTATGCAACCTCACATAGGCGGCTTTGCATTTCGTTGATACGCGGTTTTGTACTTTAAACGGCGATATACAGATTATTAAAGACGATCTAATTTACACTGTGTGACAAAAAAAAATGTATATAGCTTTTTCGAGGTTCACACTTGTTGTAGGTCTATTCAAGCAGTAAAATCTGCATACACCCTCAAAATCTGGGCTTAAGGTCAAAAACCGCGTTTTTCAAAGGGTGACGCACAGGTATATTTGCTCGTAACTTTATTTCTGTTTACCCGGTGAAAAATACGTATTTATGTATGTGATTCAAGATAAGACATTTTGCTGCTTACAACAATGTTTAAATTGATAATTTATCTTAAGAAATGGCAAAGGAATCAGTGATCGGACTTAAAAAAATTTGTGTGGTAGAATCTAAAAAAAATGTGGTAGATTTCAAAAAAATGTGGTAGATTTCAAAAAATTTGGTAGATCTCAGGTTTTGGATCAAAATTTGTACAAAAATTAAAAAAAATCTGCAAGGTTTCTCCTAAATTGCAAACATTTTAATTAGAATCTAAAACAAAATTAATTTTAGTATAATAAAGTGCAAGATTGAAGTTGATAAGAATTGCGTAGGTTTTGGCAATTTTTTTCCTTGACAATTTCGAACATATTTTGAAAGATTTCTGCAACCTTGCAGAGTGCTGCCAGCTTTTCTTTTTATCACATCACGATGTAGCGAAAAAATGTGGCCCGTTCCAAAAATGCTGCTTGGGATTTGCCGATTTTGACAATTCTCAAGTAAAAGTAAACAACGCTTTAGAAATTTGAGATGCACTGAAATTTGCTAATGCTTTCACAAAATAGCCGGTTTTTATCATTTTCGCTATTAATTCTTTTTATAAATCATATGTTTTGCAATTTAACACAATAAAACCATGTTTGATGTCGAAAAATTGAATATTGAGAAAATTTACTATTTTACAGTTTATTTTATCCTCCCATTCTGCCTGTTGTTAGTGTTTAGTGTTGGACAATTTTTGACTTAAAATTAAAAAAAATATGTTGAGCAAAAATAAAACTACTCAAAAACGCGAATATGTGGTAGATTTCAGACCTTGTGTGGTAGGTGTGCTCAAAAAAGTGGCAGATCTACAACAATGTGGTAGAAGTCCGATCACTGAAAGGAATCTTACAGAGTATATCGATGGCTGAGTGGAAGATCGATCCATCTCGGCAACCAGTTCGAAAACGCCCTATCTCAGAAAATTTTTTAACAACGCGCTATCTCAGAAAACTTTTCAAGAACGCCCTACTTCAGAATTTCATTGAAAAACGGCCTATCTCAGCTGCCGATTCAAAAACGCCCTATATCAGCTTATTTTCAATGTATTTTCGTATGAGATAGGGCGTTTTTGAAATGAATTCTGAGATAGGGCGTTATTCAACAAAATTCTGAAATAGGGCGTTTTTCAATCAAACTTTGAAGTAGGGCGTTCTAGAAAAATTTTCAGAGACAGGGCGTTTTTGAACTGGCTTTCGAGATAGGTCGATCTTCCACTCTGCCATCGATATGCAAAATTTAAATTTTTAACTTTTTTTCATTTTAAATTACGACTTGTCCGACTATTTTGTTAACTAGTATACATACATAGGGCGCCCATTCTCAAGACAAATTAACCATTTATAAATGGTTGTAAACAACGAAATGTTTTCTCTTAAATGGCATATGTAGTATTTTTCCTCGGGCAAACAGAAATAAAGTTACGAGCAAGTATATGCTTCAACCTTTTTACCTACAGCCCAGATTTTGAGGGTGTATTCAAAATTCTGAGTACCTGTGCGTATATATTATTTTTGTTTATTTCACTTCAAATCCCACGAAATCATAAATGCAAAAGTATGGTTGACACCGTCATCATCATCATAAGTATTTATGACCAAATGGTTAAATCGTGTGAATGAATGTGGACAATATTTGTCACTTTACTGCTGTGCGCAAATGTGTGCCAAATCATTGGATCTTTGGCAGCCAAATCGTCTGATCGCTATCCAAATGCGTAAATGTGGACAAATCTAAATTTGGCATTTTGTGTAGAAATGTACAAATCGTATGATCCCTGCTTAACAAGGCGAATTTAATAAGGTGGTGTTGGGACGACATCTGATTTTTCGCCGCGAAGAACATTACGTCAAAATGATTTGCTTCTTGTAATTCATATTGTCGTTACGCGTATAATTTGTTAGTGAGTCAAGTTTTCTCAAGTGGGCCACCCAAAGTTAACTTTTCGATTTTTTATATTTCATTGACCGATTTTGAAAGTTAACATGGTGTGCAATATTGACCCCAAAGATATTGCGCGTAATTTAATTTTTTTGACGAGTTATTTGCAAACAAATTTTTATGTAGGCTTTTACACTTGTTGAAATATTTCAGCAACCATTCATTCGAATCGTAATGATTTTTTGACATTTTGACTTCTCATATACCTAGGAAAAGAATTCAAAAAGCATTATTTGCGCTAAACATCCAATGTTACTTTCCTAAAAAAAATTACTGCACCTTTGATTGACTTAAAGCTTTTTGCCAAAGAAATGAACCGAGTTTAAAAACATATAATACAAATGAACTGAAAAGCAAAGAAAAAATAATAATTAGATAATTCTTGATTTGATACTTAAGTTCTAAAATTTCATTTTTTGCTTTCCAGTTCATTTGTATTATATGTATATATTTCTTTTTGTTCATTTTTTTGGTAAAAAGTTTGAGTCAATCAAAGGTACAGTATTTTTTTACGAAAGTAAATTTGAATGTTTAGCGCAAATAATGCTTTTTGAATTCTTTTCCTAGGTATATGAGAAGTTGGTAAAAAAAAATTCAAGTGATTAAAAAAATTAAATTTTTCATAAAACAAGAATCGAAAGTTTGCAAACTGGCCACTTTATTTTGTTGCCCAATAAGTTCCCTAATTGCCGTCAAAAAATCAAAATATTCGAATGAATGGTGGCTGAAATATTTCAAAAAGTGTAAAAGCCAGTATTAAAGTTTGTTTGCAAATAACTCGTAAAAAAAATTAAATTAGCGCAAAATCTTTGGTGTCAATATTGCACACCATGTTAATTTTGAAAACCGGTCAAAGAAATATAAAAAATCGAAAAGTCAACTTTGGGTGGCCCACTTGAGAAAACTTGACTCAGTGTAATATTTTACATTCATATATACATCAGACTGCATCTTCTCTTCTTCTTATTTGGCGCTGTAACCGCCTAAGCGATTTTGGCCGAGTCCAAAACAGCACGCCAGTCATTTCTCTTCTGTGCTAACTGACGCCAATTGAAAATGCCAAGTGAAGCCAAGTCCTTCTCCACCTGGTCTTTCCAACGCAGAGGAGGCCTTCCTCTTCCTCTGTTACCAGCATCGCGGCCCGCGTTGAATATTTTCAGAGCAGGAGCGTTTCTGTCCATCCGAACGACATGGCCAAGCCAGCGGAGCCGCTGAATTTTAATTCGCTGCACTATGTCTATATCGTTGTAAAGCTCATACAGCTCATCGTTAAATCGTCTGCGATATTCGCCATCACCAACGCGTAAAGGTCCGTAAATCTTTCGCAGAATCTTTCTCTCGAAAACTCCAAGAGCCGCCTCATCAGATGCTTTCATTGTCCATGCTTCCGCGCCATACACCAGCACAGGCATGATGAGTGACTTATAGAGTGTGATCTTTGTACGACGAGAGAGGACTTTACTTCTCAATTGCCTACTCAGCCCAAAGTAGCACTTGTTGGCAAGAGTGATTCTCCGTTGGATTTCAAGGCTGACATTATTATTGGTGTTAATGCTGGTTCCCAAATAAACGAAGTCGTCTACTTTTTCAAACTTGTAACTGTCAACAGTGACGTGGGTGCCAAGACGCGTATGCTCTGACTGTTTGTGTGCTGACAGGAGATACTTCGTTTTGTCCTCGTTCACCACCAGACCCATTCGCTTTGCTTCTCTATCCAATCCCGAGAAGGCAGAACAGACGTAGCCCTTGTTTTTACCGATAATATCGATGTCGTCGGCATACGCCAGCAATTGTACGCTCTTATAAAGTATTGTGCC